TGGGAGGGCTGTGTGTGTGGGTCTGTGGGCATGGGGCCAGCCGGCGTGGAGGTCCCTGAGTGTCCACCGAGTGATGTTCCCCGAGCGACTCCGCCCCTTGAGGCTGCAGCTCCGGGTGGGCCAGTGGCAGCCTGGAAGGCAGTTGGGTACTCGGGCGTAGGCGGGGCCAGGCCTTTCTCTGCAGGTTAAGGATGTTGGGGTGTTTTGCTGGTTTTCTTGTGGGCCTCAGAGTGGCTCTCTCCCGAAGAAAGGCTGCAGACACACACCCGGCCTGCTGCCACAGGGCTCTGGGAAGGTGTCTGCTGCGGATATTCTGCGTCAACAGGAAGGCCTGGGCTGGGCCTGGGGGCAGTGGCTGGGCCGAGGTGGGCAGTGGCTGGGCCGAGGCAGGCACTGCTGGGGTGGCCATGCCTGCGCACCCGGGGCCTGGGGTTCATGGCCCCGGGCCCTGCACCTGCAGCCAGGGAGCTAGGGCAGGGTGGCAGGAACCTTCCTGGGGGACCTCTGCTGCCTCCCCTTCCTCCCTGCACCTTCTGGGCCAGTTCTCCCCTCCATCTGATCAGCACCCTCTCAAACTTGGGCAAACTGTGGGTGCCTTGACAGGGCCCTGGGGTACTTTGGGGTGCAGCTTGGTCCTTCCCTCCCTTCCTTCTGCTGGAGGCTTTCTCCTGTCCCTCCTTAGGCCAGCAGATAGCCAGCCTGAGCCAAGGCTACCCACACGTGGCCAGCTGAACCCAGGCCTTTGCCTGGTGCCTCCTGGTGGGGCCGCAGGGGTGTGGCCTGGAGTCTGAGGCCAAGGGAGCCCCCTTCCTCCTGGCCGGGCCCCTCTGCGGGGACATCCTCTCGTGGTGGGCACGGCCAGCCCTACCTGTGTCAGCACAGCTGGCTGAGGAGGGGTGTCCCTCCCGAGCTGGATGTGGTGCCACATGCCTGTGATCTCGGCACTGTGGGAAGATGAAGCTGGAGGGTTGTGAGTTCGAGCCCAGCCTGGGCTACTTAGGGAGACCCTGTCTCAAAATAAAAAGTAAAACGGTGCTGAGGATGTAGCTCAGTGCAAAGACCTGGGTTCAATCCCCAGTACTGATAACAAAGAAGTAAAAGCCATGGAGATGTTGCAGCAGCTGGCCAGTTCACCCTCCAGCACAGGGCCCAACACCCAGCCCTCTGTGACCTCCCGGCAGGTGGGGTACAAAAGTGAGGAGATCCCAGGAGGGGCTGCTTCTTGGCTGTAGAATCCCCACTGCCTTCTGGGAGGCCAGGAAGGCAGGGGCGGCTTCCCGGGGGCGGCCGGGGCCTTGGGAGGGCAGCGCCAGCCTCCCTGACACCTACGCGGCTGCCTCTGAGGAGGGGGTCTGCAGGGCTGGGTTGCTGTCAGCTTGAGCTCTGTCCTCCTGCCCCAGAGTTGGCTGGTGTCTCTGGGTTGTACACGGGGACATGGTGCAGGGCTTGGCCTGCTGTGCATTCCCCGGCAAAGGTGAGAAACTGAGGCTTGCAAAGGGGGAACTGGCTCCGGATTCCTCGTCTGGGTGCCAGAGAGGCGGGGCTGTGGCGGTTCGTGCTGGTGCCCTGTGGGAGTGAGTGTCACTCGGCCAGGGTCCGCTGAGCTCGCAGGACGTGTGCCCCGGGCGGCCTTTGTCTTCATCTTCTCTGCCCGTTTCCCATGTGTCAGAGGCCGGTGCCGGTGGCTTCCCCTGCAAGGTCGCAGGGACTCCATGACATCGAGGGTGCAGAGGCGTGTCTGACTCGTGTGAGCGGCTGATTCTGTGTCTCTCCGGGACACTTTGCCCATCTTCTCTGGCCAGCCCCTGGCCACCTCTCCTGGGCCCTTCTGGGGACATTCCCTGCACATGGGGACCTCAGGCTCCGAGGTGGCTAATGGGGCTGACTTCCAGTGCCCATTAGGCTGGTCAGGTCACTGTTCCACCCTCTCGTTCTGAAATTCCTTAGGTTGATATTTTGAAGTTTGAGGAAATGGTTTGTCACTAATGATATGAATGACAAAGGCCCCCAGTGGTTTGCAGCACGGCTTCCAGACAGGGATTAGTTGCTGGTAGAGTGTATCCTTTGAGTCCACTCATGACAGCGAGGCCCTCCCCAGCCAGGTTCGCAGTTGGACCTGGTCCCAGGGTGCCTGGCTGACCTGGAACCCAGGCCCCTGTCCTGCACACTGCCTCCTGGTTGGAGGACATGCCCAGGTGGCTGCATGTGGGGGCGAGCTCAGGCACCTCCCTGGAGCTGGGGCCCCGTGGGAGGTTCTCCGTGGCCCTGGGGCCTCTGCACTGGCCTTGGCACAGCTGCTGGGTCCCTCAAGCCCTGTGCAGCACCTCCATGGCCAACTTCCCGAGACCTGGAGCTGGCCGGTCTGAGTGCCAAGCATGGTGGCAGTGGTGTCCTAAGGCTGGTGGCATGGCATTTCCGGGGCCAGGACACAGCCACTGCCGGTGAGCACGGTCCGGGGTGGCGGAGGTGTTGTGGGTGCTGTGGGTGCAGCAGGCCCGTGTTCCTGCTCTGGGGTGCCTGTGTTTGGTCGCAGCCTCTCCCTGTGCTGTGGGTCTGCCCGCTTCCCAGAGGCACATGAGGTGTCAGTGAGGTTTGCAGGACGGGCTGAGCCCAGGCTGCAGATGGAGGCTGTGGCCCGAGAGGGCTGGCCGTGCCTGGGGCGCCTGGGCATGAGCGGCTGGTCCTTGCCGCATTCGAGGCCCTGTGTCTCCCTGATTGGTGGCCTGTAGGGCAATGGCAGTGGATGTGCCACGTGGGGGCTTCTGTAGCCTCAGGCTCAGGGCCTAATGACGTGCTCATTCAGGGCTTTGAAATCCCAGCATAAAAGGCTGGCGTGTGGGTGGCCCCAGCCTCAGCCCACTGTGGGCTGCCAGTCTCACGCCTGGCAGATGCCCAGCCCTCCCCGAGGCTGCCTGGAAGCTCCCCGACCACACAGGAGGTACCAGGTGCCCTTGCTGCCTCTGGGCTCCCTGAGAGGCAGAGGCACCTGAAGGCTGGCATCTGCTGCCACTTTGGCAGGGCTGTGAGACCTGGGCATGGTGGCTGGGTAGGCGAGGCCACAGCTTTGGAGCCTCCAGTGCCCATCCTGGCTCTGCACAGGCAGCTGCAAGCTCTCAAGGCCGTGCTTGCTCCGTCTGCAGCGTGGGCACCTGTCGTGCCTGCTGCATCTCTCCTCGTGCCACATGTTCCTGGCCCTTCAGCCCTGTGCAGTTGGGCAGAGGTGTGCTCCTCCTGCCTCGGCCTTCCTCCCTACACTGTCCTGGGCTTCTCCTACCCCTGCCCCGTGTGATTGTGCTGGCCTCGGTGACCACCAGGCACGTGGTGACCTGCACGGGCTTCTGACCCCTCCTGTGCACTCTTGTCTTGCAGACTTCTCCACCCAAGTGAACTCCTCGCCCCTCAACTCCCCAACGGGCCGGGGCTCCATGGCTGCCCCCTCGCTACACCCTGCGCTGGGCCCTGCCATCGGCTCCTCGCTGGGCTCCCCAGGGCAGCTGCACTCGCCCATCAGCACGCTGAGCTCGCCCATCAATGGCATGGGCCCGCCCTTCTCTGTCATCAGCTCGCCCATGGGCCCCCACTCCATGTCAGTGCCTGCCACGCCCACCCTGGGCTTTGGCACTGGCAGCCCCCAGGTGAGTGCACGGGCCGGGCAGGGGGCAGGGTGGGCGTCTCAAGCCCCTTCCCCCCGGAGAACCGCCCTGGCTTTCCGCTGGCCTTCCAGTGGCACGCGGAGCCCGAGCTGCTGGCACGAGGGAGGCTGGGCCACCTCCCTGGGCCTGGCTGTGCTATTTTTAGCATGGCTGCCCCACACCCGTTCCTGCTGACTGCCCGGTGCCACGCGGTGAGAAGGCAGATGAAGACTTGGCGTGCATGGGCTTGGCTTCCCTGTGGGTGGTACCTGCAGTCCTTGTAGCTGCACAAGGCTGGGCACTGCCCACCACCCTGGCCTGGTCCTGCCCACGGTACACAGCGGGGTGGGGCGGCTCCGGGAGCGGCAGGGCTCTGGGGGCCGTGTTGGTCCTCTTTGGTTGCTTCCTGTGCGTCGTGAGGAAGGACTTCACTATAAGACCTTGTTGGCACCAGGCTGGGAGTGAGGCGCCCAGTGGCCCCGTGAGACTGACGAGGCAGGGAGCAAACCCAGGCCTTTCCTCCCAGCCTGCACCCCTGTCTGAGCCCGTCCTGCTCTCTGGCCACCCAGAGGCATTGGTTCCTCTGGAACATGCAGCTGTCCCTGGGAGCCATGTCCAGCCTTTGTCTCAGATCCCTGGGGCTCCCTGTGTTGATGGCAGTGTGGGTGGAGTTTGGGATGTGTCTGTCCCTGCTCCCCAGCCCCGAGGCATGGAGCCAGCAGCCCAAGCTAGTGAGGCCCTTTGACTCCCACTGTGGTGGGCAGGGCTCGCCTTCTGCCCAGCTCTACCCAGTCAAACCCATGGCTGGGAAGCAGGGTCCACTGGTCCAGGCCAGGCTACCCCCGCCCCAGGGGGATGGGAGCCCATGGGGCTTGGCAGAGCCACGCTTGGGAGGCCCATTGGCTGGCGAGCACACAGGGAGGTGAGGGCGGTGGCCTGGGAGTGGGCCCAGGAGAACGGGGTGTGGCGGGTGCTGGGCAAAGGAGCAGGGAGATGGGCAGGGACCAGGTGGGGCGCTGGTGAGGTGGAACTGAAATGCACCCCAAGGATGCGAAAGGGGAAATGGGTGGGCAGCCCCCACCCTGCCACAGGAGGGCTTGGGTTCCAGCGAAGGGCGGAAGGGCCACCTGTGGGAGTGCAGAGGTCTCCAGTGTGGGGGTGGGGTCGGGCGCCCTGTACTCCATGCTGAGAGCTTTGAATCTGGGACCCGGGCCCATTGGCTTGGCACTGGGCAGGGCAGGAAGATGTCCCCCCACCCCACCCCATCCCCATGGTGGCCCCAGGTCCTGCAGTGTGGACCTCAGCCTGGCCTTCAGCCTGCCCAGGCAGTTAGGGCTACCCAGGGCCTCTGCTTTTCCTGGGATGCCCTGGGAACTGCCCAGCCTAGCGGGGACTGACAGGGAGTGTGACTCCCCACTCTGTCCTGCCTGTCCTTGCTGAGGGGCTGTGACCAGCCCTCCTCACTGCTCTGGCCCTGCCTCAGTTTACCTAGGGCCTGTAGGCAGGGCCAAGGAGACTGTGTATAGACCTCCATGTGGTTTGGGGCAGCCACAGAAAGGAAATGAGCGAGGTTCCTCCCTAGCATTGCCCAGCAGTCCCGGCCCTGTGTCATTAAGGCTGGGTTCTCATGGCACCGAGAAGGGCCCCCCGCCAGCCTCTGGGCCTGGGTCTCCCCTCTGCTGGGGCACAAGCTGTGTGGGGCCCAGCAGCCTCTGCCCATGCTCGGGACTCAGCATGCCCTCCTGGTGCCTGGGGACTAGCATACGGGGCATTCAGCGAGTGGCGACAAGGGGCTGCCCTGGGCTGCAGTGGGACCCTGGACATCCGCGGCCCACCCGAGGCCCTGAGGAATTCAGCACCCTCGTCCAGGTGGACTGGGAAATCCCTGCAGGGGCCCAGGCTCTGGGGAAAGGAGGCTTTGGGTACTGAGCGCATCACATCCCATCCCATCCGCGGGAAAGGGGGAGGGGGCTGGGCCGTGAGGGAGGAGGGAGGCGAGTGCCTCCTGTGGGCTGGCCGGGCTACCCAAGGGCAGGTTGGTGGCTGGAGACAGCTGCGCAGCCTGCTTTCTGCCTCCGTCGGGGCTTTGCACAAGTGGGGGGCTGCCCAGCTGGGGCCATGCGCAGCAGGCAGGCACGCTGGCTGGCGGGATGCGGGGCTGGCGGTGCCTCCGGCCCAGTGTGCTGACTGCAGAGCCGGGCGGGAGGCAGAGGAACCAAAACTGCTGTGTCATTGCACGCTGCAGCTGTTGCCAGGGCGACCGGGTGAGTTTCCCACGCCTGCCCTGGAGGCTGGCGGGTGGGGCCGAGGGGTGTGCAGAGGCCGAGGTGCTGATGCTGCCCAGTGCCTGGGGTGCCCTCCCGCCCCTCCTTCGTGTAGAGACCACCGCCCTGCAGTGTGCACAGCATGCATAGCCGGGGAGACCCAGCCTCCTCCGCGGGCTTCGCAGGCCGGGCAGGGAGCACCCAGCCTGTCTCAGTGACCTCAGGCAGCCCTTGGGGCTTGGTGGGACCCTCCGGTGCAGGGTGGGGCCGGGGGTCCCCAGGTGTGTGAGTCTGCAGCAGCCTGGGGCCTGGCAGGAGATGGGGCCCCTGAGCCTGGCCCTCCTGAGGACGGTAGCCTTGCTGCTCCTTAGCTGTGTGGCCTAGGGGACCCCTCTGTCAAGTGGGGCTGCCGCAGGGCTGTTGGGAGGACATGGGTTTGGGCCCCCCGGGCTCCCGGCACCAGCCTGCCTGGGCCTGACCTTTCTGGACGTCCCTCCGCAGCTCAGCTCGCCCATGAACCCCGTGAGCAGCAGTGAGGACATCAAGCCCCCACTGGGGCTCAATGGTGTCCTCAAGGTCCCCGCCCACCCCTCAGGAAACATGGCGCCCTTCACCAAGCACATCTGTGCCATCTGCGGGGACCGTTCCTCAGGTAGGGCCGTGGGTGGGCAGGGGCGGCAGGGTGCAGGGTGGGGTCCGGGTGCCCCTTCCGTGCCCCACCTCCTTTCTGTGGGTGGCAAGGGTGACATCTCGGGAGGCCAGGGGCTGGACAGAGCCCCTGCAAGATGCTCCTGAACCCATAGCCTGAGACCGAGGCAGCGCTTGGCCCCCAGGTCCTGCAGGCCAGGACTTGTGACCCGCAGGGGGAGCCGCAGGGTGGCCATCCTCAGATGAGCAGGAGGGCAAGGCGGGGCCCCGCGAGCCCAGGCCAGGGTCAGAGCCAGCCCTTGTGGGCCCCGGGGCAGGGGGCCCGGCTGGGCCGCTCTCAGGCACCCTCTGCCCGTAGGCAAGCACTACGGCGTGTACAGCTGTGAGGGCTGCAAGGGCTTCTTCAAGCGGACTGTGCGCAAGGACCTGACCTACACCTGCCGGGACAACAAGGACTGCCTGATCGACAAGCGGCAGCGCAACCGCTGCCAGTACTGCCGCTACCAGAAGTGCCTGGCCATGGGCATGAAGCGGGAAGGTAGGCGGGCGGGCACAGGGTGGCAGGCTGCCTCCACCTCCAGCCCGCATTCACTCGGGGCGGGGTTGGGGCACCGAGTCCGGCCGGGAGCCCTGCATGTGTGCTGCGGGCTCCTCTGGCTGTGCTGCTGCCCAGTAAGGGCACGGCCAGGGAGGCCTGGGGAGGCGCTGCTCAGGCCGGCGTGGCCGGTGGGTGTCCCCTGAGCTGCTGCTGGGTGTGGGGTCGCGGGACCCGGGGAGCAAGGCTTCGGAGCTGCTTTACTTGGGGGACATGCTCGGGCTGTGCTGCTGAGTCTAAGATGCGGTCGGGTTGCTACTCCTGCCTTGGCCTCCGGGGGCCCTGTGGCTTCAGGGCCCTGGACGGCATCCCCTTGATGAGCATCCCGATGGTGGGCGCTGCGAGGCGTGCACTTCCTCTGTCTGTCTGGGTCTGCTCTGTTCTTGGCCTCTGCCTCTCTGGAGAAACTGAAACCTTGGTGGGCCGCACTCCCCGAAGCACTTCCTCCTCCGGGCTGTGAGATCGTGTGCGGTGCAGGGTGGGGGCTCTCGGGCAGCCTGTGTCCCACTCCCAGTGGGGCTGGTAGGGCCCCAGCGCCTCGTGAGCAGCCCTTTCTGATCGGGCGCATGGTTCCCAGAGCGCTGGAGTTTGTGCAGCTCTGTTCTCGCTGTGCAAGTGGAGCAACTGGGGACGTCCAGGTCTCGTCCAAGGTCACGTGCCAGGCTGGTGACCCTGCCCTCCCACCCTGTTCCCTCTGCCTGCGGCAGGCAGAGGAAGCCAGCGCCCCGCAGGGAGGGGCGCCCGCCCTGCTTCCTGTGCGTGCTTCATGTGGTGAGGGAAGGCTCCCTGGGGACGGCGAGTGCAGCACCGTCCCTGGAGGATGGGGATGGGCAAGGGGGAGTGAGCCTGGCAGGCGGTGCCCAGGTGTGCAGCGTGTGAGGCTGGGGCTGAGGGAGGCGGTGGAACTTCGTGCCTCTTGCCAGCTTGGTTGAGCGCCTGCGCTTACCCCTTCTCTGAGCGTGCTGACAGCCCCCGGTGTCCTGTTGGGCACGGGTTGTGAGCCCTGGTCCATTGAAGGCGACCAGCAGGTGACCAGGCAGGGCCCCGAGGGTGCGGTGGGAGCTGGCTGCGAGGCTTGGGCATGGGGCACACAGCTCAGGTGGTGGGAGGGTGTCCAGGCTGCCCCCGAGGGAAGGCAGGTCAGACCCCCAGGCCAGACACGTGGAGAGGCTGCAGCCCCAAGCCCTGGCGGGGACCCTCAGCCCATGTGCCTCCCTGCCAGGACTGGTGTGCCTGCTCTTCTCAGACTCCCACGCTGGTCGCCCGAGGCCTGGGAGTGGGTGACCCTTCTCCCCCACCCATGTGGGTAGGTGCCCTCCTGGTGTCCCTGCTGCATCCCGCGTGCACTCTGTCCTAGTGCCGCCCACACTTCCCCGATAGAGAGGTGGGCGCGGGGAGGGGCACCTGGGGTATCTTGGGGCTGGCACGGCCCGGCTGGCTTTGCCCATTTGCTGGATCCCAATCCCTGCTGGCCGGAGATCTTTGCAGCCTCCGGCCCTGCGTCTTCCGCCCGTCCCTGTGGCAGCACGCAGCCTCGAGGCTTGATTTATAGGCCGTTAGATAAATACCTGGTCCTGTCCAGGGCCCTCCTCCCCTTTGTCTCTGGTTGGATTTATTAGTCATGAACGTGCTGTAAAAACCTCCTACAAAGTGCTCTCGTGCCCCAAACACAACAACTGCAAAACGGGCTCGGGCTCCCCGGTGGGAGCAGACGGCAGCTCTATGTGGGCGGCTAGAGGAGGAGTTGAGGCCCCCCTGCCCAGCGGGCCCTGCCACCCTGCGCAGGGTCTTGTGCAGGTGGGGCAGCCTTACCTGCCTGCCCCAGGCCCGACACGTCTCCCAGGCCCGTGGTCCCAGTGGGAGCTCCACTCTTGGGATGGGCAGCCTCCGAGCAGCCCCACGGTGCACCCTGCGGGGACCCCCGGGATGAGCGGCTGGGAGGGGGTCAGGTCCAGCCCTGCCAAGTGCCAGGCCTGCTGTGGGTGGCTCTGTCCACTGGCTTGATGCCACACGAACCTGCACATCCTTCTGTCTTGTCCCTTGTCCCCTGAATTCAGCTCCGGGAGGGTGCTTGGGGTTGGCCGGCCACCAGGTGGGCCCAGGATTCCCTGTGGCCCTGCTGCTGGGAGGGGACCCCCTCACTCCGGGACAGGCAAAATTCCCACCCGGAGCTGGCTGGTGAGGGACACCATGGCTGATAGCATCTCCGTTGGGCAACAGCCGGGCCTGCAGTGGCAGGCAGACCCAGGACTTGTTCTGCAGCATTCCCCGGCCCAGGCAGTGCCTCAAGGCCTCGGCTTAAGACCAGGCTGAGCCCAGGCCTGTTCAGGGCTGGGGGGCCTGCAGGTGCGGATCTGAGGGGAGACAGACTGGGCACCCCCAGCGCACCGCCCCCCTCCCGGCCAGGCTGCCCTCTGCTTCCTCCCTGCCTCCCTTTGCTTCCTGTGCCCCTGGGTCCAGGGACCAGGGGTACAGACGGAGTGGTGTGTGTGTTTGTGTCTGTGCGCACGTGCGTATAGATAGGGGTGGCTCCACCGGTTCCCACTCTAGGGAAGGAGCCCCTGTGGGGTTTGAGTGCTGGCTTTGTGGCAGCGGGCTGGTAACTTTGCCTCTGTGAGCGTGGAGTCCTCATGTGTCCCATGTGAGCCCCTGCCAGGTCCCATGTGGCAGAGGACACGACTTGGGTGGTTGGTGGGGTTGGAGAGGTGGCCACGCTGTGTGTGTATGTGTGCATGTCTGTGTATGCATGTATTCGTGTGTGCATGTCTGTCAGCATGTGATTTGCCCTAGATTGGATCCCCTGAAGGAAGGAAGACCACCCCCTCTGAAGTACCAGGAGGACCCTGCCCATGACAAAGGACAGAGGAAGGGCCCAGCCACCGGCGGTGCCCCAGACAGAGGTGGCATGGGGCTGGGGGTGCCCTTGTGGCCTCCCCATCGAGCCGTCTGTCTTCAGGGAAGGGCCTCCTGCTTGGCCCCAGGGCCGCGGCAGCTTCCAGCACCCCACCGCGGCTGTGGGTCTGCTGCTTTCTGAGTCTGGTGCCAGCGTCTCCTGACGTGGGGACCCCGGCCGAGCTGGGGAGGGGTGGCCCTGGCTGGGTGGGGTCCCCCAGACTCAGCCTTCGTCCTGATCTTCCCTGGGGCCGGTCCTCCCACCCAGGCTTAGGCCTCCAGCTGCGGCTTCCTTCCCGCTGCTGCTGGCTGCCGAGCACCGGCCTGGGGAGGATAGGGGGAGGCCCTGTATTTACAGACGCCTCCCGCCCGAGGCTTCCCGGCGCCAGTGGGGCATAAGTCAAACATGACTGCGTCTAGAAGGTGATTGAGCTGGCGAAACATAAATCCCAGCTCCACCTGCCCCACCGCTGTCTATAAATAAGACCATAATATTTATAATGATGCTGCTCAGAGCTGCTGGGGCCCTTCACAGCTTCAAAGTGCTTTACAAAACATTTGCTAATTAATTCTCGCCACCCGCCTGATGAGGAGGCAGGTGCCGAGCCCCCCACGGCCTGCTCCAGGCTCCCAGGGAAACCAGCCGCAGCGCAGCGAGGCTCAGCACTCAGGGCTGCTGGAGGCCATGGCGCCTGCCCCCGTGGGGACGTGGGGTGGGCAGATCGGGCCTGTGCAGGCCCTCGTGGGGTGCATTGTGAAGGCAGGCATCCTCCGTCACGGGAGATGAGGCAGAGGGTGGGGGACTTGCCCTGGGCCACACAGCTGTGAGAGGTAGAGCCAGCTTCGGGACTGGGCTGTGTGATTCCATCTGGAGCCCGCAGCCTCTAAGATGTCCACAGTGCCCTTTCTAGCTCTCTGAGCCTCAGTTGCCCCCCAAAGAGGAGGCTGCTGAGCAGACACCATCTGCCCAGACCCTCTGCGCAGGCAGGAGGGCCGTGGGCCTGCCGGTGTCTGCCATAACCAGCCATCTAGGTGCCTCCTGCTGGTGGGCTCCCTGGCGTCCATGGGGTCTCCCCTGTCCCTGGAGCAGTGACCCCACCTCAGATGAGTGCCACACGTGGAGGGGTGGGGGGCAGAGCCTGCCTGGCCCTGTTGGGGTTGGATTTTCCAGGACAGCCAGGCGTGTGGGAGCCTGGGTTTCCTGGCTGGTGCGTGCGGAGCCTCTGCCCAGCCTGCTGCCCTTGGTTCCCAACGTGGGAGTGGGAGGTCCCTGGCTCAGCCCCACTGTTGGGTCTTGGAAAGACGGCCCCATCCTGGGATGGTTCAGGAGTGCTTGTGGGGACCCTGAGGCGCAGGAGGGCACCCATCAGACCCCAGGGGAACGGTGGCCAGTGGCTGGCAAGAAGCCAGGGACACAAGAGGTCTGGAGGCGTCCACTTGGGGCGGTTAGAGAGCTGTGGGCTGGAAGGGAGCCGTATAGGGCTGGGGCCCCTGGACTACCATGGCAGGGAGACTGTGGGGCCCTGGGCTGGAGGAAGGAGGGCAGGATAGGCAGGGGAGGGAGTTATGGCCTGGGACATGGCTGTGCTGGCAGGGCTGCCTGGTAAGTGCCCTGTGATCCTGGGGAAGCAGGGGAAGAGGGCCAGGTGCAGCCCCAGGCAGAGCAGGCAGGTGGGGGGCGATGTCATGGGAACCGGAGGCTTCAGGGGTGAGGGTCTGGGCCATTGCCCGGCCTGCGGGCAGGAGGGCAGGATGGAAGAGCAGCTGATGCCCATCAGGTCTGGGGCATGGTGAGGTGTGGAGCTTTGCAGGAGCAGCCGGAGGGCCTGGGCTGAGTTGGGTGTGGAGTGGGGTGAGTGGAGGTGGCTCAAGGACCGCGGGCCCTGCTGGCGTTGTCTCTTGGGCTGACTGTGGGCCACCGAGCCTTCCAAGCCTCTGTTCCTTGGGAGGGGCAGCGTCGTGGCCGGGCATTGGTGGCAGAGGAGTGGAAGAAGGAGGAGACCGAGCCAGGGTCGGGCATGGGGTCGGCAGACAAGCACTTTGCGGGTGTCCGCGTGTGACTCTGAGCCCGTCTGCCCCTTGCCCCTGCCCCTCACCAGCATGGCACTGTTCCTGGGCAGGGCACCATAGGCTCCAGCTCTGGGCCTCTACATGTGCTGTTTCCTCCACCTGAACCAGTCCCAGTCTCACTGCTGCTGCTTTCGGGAGGCTTCTTGGCTTTACCGAGTCCTGCGGCTCAGGTCTCTGCCAGGCCGTCAGCTCTAAGGAAGGCGGTCTGCTCTGCTCCTGGTGCGAGTGTTGGCTGAGTGACTTCCAGAGAGGTGGTCTTTCTCATCAGGGCTCGGCCACCGAGAGGCCTGGCGTGGGCAGGCACGGGGCTTGTGGGGACCCCAGGGTTGGTGTGCTGGCTCAGCTGGCCCTGCCCAGGCTGACGGGCCTTGTGGTTCAGCCGTGCAGGAGGAGCGGCAGCGGGGCAAGGACCGCAGCGAGAGCGAGGTGGAGTCGACCAGCAGCGCCAACGAGGACATGCCGGTGGAGAAGATCCTGGAGGCCGAGCTGGCCGTGGAGCCCAAGACGGAGACCTACGTGGAGGCGAACATGGGGCTGAACCCCAGTTCGGTGAGTCAGCCTCGGTGCCTGCCTCAGTTTCCCTGTGGATGCTCTCTGGCTCATCCTTCCTGGGCAGCCAGGGAAGTAGCGGGCTCCTGGGGGCGGTGCTGGGGGCCCTGGCCCTGCACTCACCCCTCCCGGACCCCGTGTGCGCTGCAGGTGTGGCCCCAGGGTGGGCAGCTCTGCCTGCTGTGTGTGTCCCCAGGCAGGTGATATCCCTGAGCCTCCTTGTCCTCAATGGAATAGGTACTGCCGGAGGGGACCCCAAAGCCGGAAGTGGCTCCGGGGCCTCCATTCAGTCTCCCTCACGCTGGCGCCCATAAGAGTGGCCTGAGGATGGCCACCCCTGCCCGCCAGGCCACCTGCTGCCCCCTCTGCCTCCAGGTGAGGGCCGGGTGGGCACAGGCTGCCCTCCTCCTGGCTCCCAGGGCTGGGGTTCAGACCCACAGGCCTCCACTCCTCCCTCACCGGATGTCACCTCCCCTGTGCCTCTGTGTCTCTGCCTGACGTGGCCTGGGCCCTGCATGGTACCTGGGCTCCTTTCTAAGCCCCCACCTACCTGGGCTGCAGGAACCTGCATGGCCTCTGGCGAGCTCACTGGCTGGGACGCCTTGTTTGTCACAGCCCCACTGAGAAGGTCCCGTGCCGGGGCTGGGTGGGTGGCTCTGGCACTTTGCCCAGACCCTGCGCTTCCTGCTGTCTTGCCGTGGTCAAGCCCAGATGTGGGCTCAGCGCACCATGCTTTCCCTCCCCGCCCCCGGCACACGGCGCGCAGTGAGGTGAGGGGCTGCTGCCCTCTTGTGAGGATGTACAGTGGTCTCTGGGCTGTGCCCCACTGCCCAGCTCTGGTCAGGAACATCAGCCGTGCCCCTGGGAGCTCAGGTGGCCCTCCCCTGCCCTGTGCCACTCTGTTGGTCGGCTGGGCTCCCAGCTGGAGAAGGCCCAGTTCCAAAGGTGGTCCCTTCTTGTGGGGACGCCCACGTGGGGAAGACGGTGGCTGGCAGTGAGGCAGGCTCTGTGCTGGAGCAGGGTTACAAGGGTGGCCGGCGGCGGGCACAGGGATGCCAGGCTTCGCCTCTGTTGAGCGAAGATGTTACCTGCAAACACCCTGTGCCCTGCTTTCTCTGCAGAAGCTCGGTGCTGCAGTGCGTGTGGAGGGCAGGGGTCCTGCTCGCATAGCGGGCCCAGGGAGGGGCTCTCCCCTGCCATCTGGGTGGTCCTGTGGGCACCCCTTCCTGGCCTGAGCTGTCGGCTCACTAACATCTGCTGCGGGATCACAGTAGGGGAGCCCTTGCCGGAGGCCACACCTCGCAGCTGGAGCAGGGTTGGGGCAGGGAGCAGCCCTCCCTCCCTCCCTCCCTCCCAGCGACCTCTCTAGGCCTTGCCTGCTGGGCCGGGCGGGAGCTGGGGTCTTCCTGGCCCAGGCGCGGCCTTGCTGCCTCCTCCCTGGCCGCCCTCGCCCTGTCTCCAGCCCGCGCATCCCTCCCGTGTCTGCCCTGTGGCCTCTTCCACACTGGGCTGCTCTCGGCCCTGGACAGGCCAGGAGGACAGCAGTGCCTGGGTGCCCGTGAGCACTGGCTCGGGGGAGGCTCCGAGGTGGGCTGAGCATCGGGACCCTCTCTCTGTCCACCCTCCCAGCTGCCCGGGCCTGTTTCCTCCCCCATCCTGGCCCCTGGCCCTAGGCCTCCATGCCAGTCTGTCCCCAGCTCCCTTCCCAGTGAGCCCTCAGCGGGCACTGGCAGCACTGGTTTCTGTCAGCAGAGCCCTCCACGGTGGATACTTTTCCTCCTGGTGCCTGGCCACTGCCAGTTCTGAAACAAGGGACCCTGTGCCCCTGCTCTGGTGTCTGTCCTGTGGCAGAGTGACTTGGGGGGGGCCAGTCCGAGCCCTGCCAGTGCCCCTGGTCCCTGAGAACGACAGGACAGCCCCCTCTGGCCAGGTCAGATTCTGGTCTGCCCAGCTCTGCCCGGGGCCTGGTGTCTCCAAGACGCGTGCCGACCTGAGTCCCTGCATCATCTGGTTGGGGTGGTCCCATCTGTCTCCTCCTGCCCAACACCTGCCTTGCCAGGGCTGGGGTTGCTGAGCGGATCCTTCCTGGGGCTGCTGAGATGAATCGACACACGCTGAGTGGATTTTAGCATCTCAGGGGTTGTGAGGCCAGAACTCCCAGTCGGGCTCAGAGGGCTGAGTCAAGCTGTAGGCTGGGTCTCAGTCCCTGGCTGTGGTCCCGCACTGTTCAGGCTGGCAGTACCCACTCCGGCCTTCCAGCCCCTCAAAGGCCCTTGCTGTGACCTTGGGCTCCCGGTGACCCAGGGTTGCCTGCCATCCCGAGGACTTTAGCACACTCCCTCCTCTCAGTCCCTTTCTGTGCGAGTCACGCCCGCAGGGCCAGGTCAGCCTCCCAGGGCCACCACTCGGTCCCCGCCCGGGTGCAGCACGTGGGTCAGGCCTGGTGTGGGCCTTGACTCTGCGTCTCCTTCTCCACTGCAGCCCAACGACCCCGTCACCAACATCTGCCAGGCCGCAGACAAGCAGCTGTTCACGCTGGTGGAGTGGGCCAAGAGGGTCCCGCACTTCTCTGAGCTGCCGCTGGACGACCAGGTCATCCTGCTGCGGGCGGGTGAGTGGCCGGGCTGCTGGCTCAGGGGCCAGTGGGATGGCGGGCAGGAGTGGCGGCTCAGGCTGGGGACAGCCCGGCTGTGGAGCCCTGGGGGAGGCGGGGCCCAAGCCGCCTCCTCCCCTGTCAAGGGGGGATTCGGGGCATGTGGGTAGCTGGGGTCGCGGGGAGCCGGGTCCTCAGCTGAGTCTCCTGGCTGTGAAACTGCGGGACATTGCGCATGGAGCCTGTGGCCACGGCAGAGGTGCTAGAGACTGTCCCATCCCGAGGCCACGCTGTCCCGGGGTCTGGACGTCCTGACCGCCCAGCTGTGCCACGGTGGCCAAGGTTTGTCACCTGGCCCAGCCAGACGGGCAGAATGATGTGCAGCATGTTCCAGAAGGTGCTGGGCCAGGCCTGATCATCCTGCCTCCCTTGGGGAGGGGTCTTTGATTGTATTGAGGTCCGGATGAGCCAGGGTCCCCCATAGCAGGTCCCTGGCCACACTGCCTTTGCCGAGACGCGTGCGCCCTGCTGTTCTTTCAGAGTCTGGTGTGTGTCCTGCCCACCAGGCACACATCTGTCCAGCTCTGCCCGCACTTCTCAGGCCCCCGCCTCCCTGCTCAGCCCAGAATCCCGAGCTCTGCCGGCCTGAGAGCCTGCCCACCCTGGAGGTCTTTGGAAGGACCTCACATAGAGGAGGGGCCGCCGGGACCCCTGGTCTTAGTCACTGTTTTCCTCATTGCTGAGACAGTGTTTGAGAAGGCCCTGCCTCAGGAAGGGGAGGTTCATTTGGGCTCAGGAGTCAGTGTGCAGTCAGCCTCAGAGCTCATGGCAGAGGGGCCTGGCGGAAGAGAGCTGCTCACCCTGTGCAGCAGGAAGCTGACAGGAAGGAGAAGCAGGGAGGGGAGTCGCCCTCCCAGGCCCATCCCCGTGCTCCCTCCAGCCACACCCTATTGCCTAGCCGTGCTCAGCTGCACATTGGTCAGTGGGTGGAGCCATCACGAGCACCCGGACCCAGTCACCTCCCAGCCCCATCTCTTGAGTGCAGGGGGCTTTCCTGGGACATCCCAGGCTTCTGCAGGCGCTGGCGTCTGCCTGCACAGACGCCTCGGCAGCCTGTGGGCCTCCCTGACCTCTGAGTCGGCGGATGCCCAGCCGAGTGTTAGTGGCAGCTGCCCTGCAGCTCCAGCCCCCGGCAGCTTCCCTCTGACCCCAGTCCTCATGGGGCGATCACAGCACATGAGCGCTGGCCTCTGAAGGCCATGTGCAGGGACTGTCCAGGCACACGGCAGCCCGACCCATGCCTCTGTGTAAGTGTCTGGCTGGGTGCGGGTCCCCGTGTGGCCTTCCCTTGCCCAGGCCCAGGCTCCTGAGTGCCCCGCCCCTGCAGGGCCTCCCGTGACTGCCCGTGACATCCCACCATGGGTGACTTTTGCATCCCCCTTGGCCTCCTCCAGGGCTCGTGGTGGCTTCTCAGCCCAGCACAGGCTTCCACCCCAGCCTCACTCTGGCCTTGTCCCCTCTGAGGGCCCTTGCTGACTGGCTGCCGGGTGCAGTGTGAGTCTGGGCCCCACCGAGCAGCCGCATGAGGTGGCTGAGTCCCAGGGTCCCAGCAGGGTCCTGGCTCTGAGTGCAGCTCTGCTGCCTGTGAGTGTGTGGCCTGGGCCGCGTCCCTCTCCACGCCTCAGTTTCCTCCTGTGCCCCTTCTGTGGGGGCTGGCAGCATTGTGTGTGCCAGGCAGACTTGGTGGCACTGTGGACTCTCACATGCCCCGCAGATGTCTGCCTGGGCCGCTTGATGCCCCCCACGGCGGCCATGGAGACCTGGAATTCGAAGCCTGTGGCAGCCAGGTGGCTGGACACGGTCAGCCCAAGGACAAGGTCTGGCCAGCTGCAGTTGGGTGCAGCCTCGGTCCCCGGCTCAGGGATGTGGGTCTCAGGTCCAGGACCCCAGATTCTGGGGGATTTCCACCATCCTGTGCGCCACTGGGCAGCACGGGCTTGAGGCCCAGTCTGTGGTCACCCTGAGGAGCGTCCAGCTGCACTGTTCCATGCTGCTGCATGGCCTGTGCCTGGGGCTGCCAGGTTAGGGCCCCTTCATCGGGGTGGGCTCGCTGCTCCAGCTGTCCAGGGAGACCTTCAGAAACGAAGTGACAGATAGTTCTGGCTCATTACGAGGCACATCGTGACTCTTCTGTTTGTCAGGCAGGTAAACTGCAGCAAGGCAAGGGCCAGTCACGGCCTCAGGCTCCTGTGTTGGCCCTTCTCCCTCCCACCTGCCCCTCGTCCCAGGCCGTTGAGACCCCGTGTGCCGCTGGAGGCCTGGCGCCCCCGCATGGCACACCCTTGTCTTCCTCTCGTTGGGTTGGTCCTGCTCCTGGCCCCGCTCTGGGACACAGTGGACGCCAGGCCGGCCTGGGGCTTCGGCACCCCGGGATAGGGCCCCCGGCCACCTTGTACCCCCAGGGGACAGCAGCCTGGCTCTCAGAGCCCCTGCTCTATTGTGCACGGATGTTTCCTAAACTCCCCCACAGAAACCCACCTCTCCCTCCGCTTCGCCAGGCCTCCTGCCAGTACCTGGCTGGGCTGGGCCACAAAGGCAGCCTGGAGGCGACCAGCGTCTCTGACAGGGACCCAGCCCTGGCTTCTCTGGCTGTCCCGTCCAACCTTGCTGATAGCTCACGGCACCCCACGATCACAGGAGTGCAAGGCACGGATCTCAGGCCCTCGTTCCTTTTCTGGTTTTGGTGGCTTATGCAGCCAGGACAAGTCCACCCCTGGGAGCAGCAGCCTGGGGCAGGGCCCGGGCCGCCTGGTCAGCTCGGCCTCCCTCTGGCTGAGTCGTGAGACAGTGAGGTGGAACTTGGCCCTGGCTCCTGTGAGGGCCTGGCTCACGTGTCTGAGTGCATTCTGCAGGGTCCCACCTGCCGTGCTGAAGGCCTGGGCCTGCACTGTGGTCCCCCCGGGATGGAGAGGGACAGGGTACGGGGTGGGGCCACAGGCACCATCACACACCGCGTACTGAGGACCTCGTGTTGTCCGGGTCACAGAGGCTCCTGGAATACTTGTGCAGTTTGCTCTTTTCCTTTTTTCCTTTTAATTTTCAGTAGCCTGTGTTTGCGATGCGTAATGACCACACCCCGTGGGAAGCCCTCCCATGTGCATGGCACGTCACCCCCTCCCCTGCCCCTCTCTCTTCCATGTCTTGGCCCCCTTTCCTTTTGCGAAAGATCGAGCTCTGTTTCCTGTTGTCGATCTTTCATTTTGCTCTTGATTTATACTCTGGGTTTCTCATATAAGAGAAACCACACAGTATTGAAGCTCGTGTGTCTGATTTATTTTACTTAATGTTATGATCTCAAGCAGCTTCCATTTTCCTACAGATGACTCAAGTTTATCCTTCTTTATGGCAGAGTAGTACTCCCTGGTGTGTAAACACCACATTTCTTTATCCATTTGGCCGTTGATGGACATACGACTGCCTCCAAGATTTAGTTATTATGAGTGGTGCTGCTATAAACACGGGTGTGCATATGTCATTGTAACGTGATGTCTTCAACTCTGTCGGGAAGATACCTAGAAGGGGACTAGCTGAGTCAAACAGAATTTCTAGGTTCAGTGTGAGGCATCTCCGTTCTGATTTCCACAGTGCTTGTCCTAGTTTGGATTCTCACTGCGCCTGCATGCACTGCAGGAAAAGGGTGTTTCTCAAACTTAGGTGCTCCCGAGCCTCCTTTCTATGGAACCCTTCATCGGGCTAGGGTTCTACAGAGCCCACTTTGGGAACACTGGGTTGGCTTGGGAAAGGGGGGAAAGGGGCAGAGCCGGTGGGGTGGAGCGACAGTGGCCGAGTGACTGTGTGCCTCCTCCCCGCAGGGTGGAACGAGCTGCTCATCGCCTCCTTCTCCCACCGGTCCATAGCCGTGAAGGATGGGATCCTCCTGGCCACCGGGCTGCACGTGCACCGGAACAGTGCCCACAGCGCAGGGGTGGGCGCCATCTTTGACAGGTGGGGTGGGTGTGGGGTCAGCTCTCTGCTTGCGCAGTGCAGGGCAGCGCATGAGCGACCTTGGGTCAGTGGCCCCCAGCCACACCATGTCCTGGACAGCACTGCCACGCTGTGGGGCCGGGCTGGGCCGTGGAGCTGGGGAGGCCCGTGAGGCTGAGACAGGCTGGTGCCACCCTGGCCTTGGCCATGGACCCTCCTGGCAGCCAACAGGCTGAGGGGGAGCCTGAGAGCCCCTGGGAACTCCGTGGGCATCTCTGCTCACAGAGGGTCCCCTGGGGAAGTGGCACCTACCCCTTCCTGCAGCTTGGCCCCTGGGGAGGCTGATGGGAGCAGCCGCCCTGCAGGTGGCCGGGGTCTTGTCTGTTTCGAGCCCTGGCTCCAGGACTGGGCCCCCTCAGCTCAGCCCCTGTGGGTCCCCCTTTAGTGCCAGGCCCTGGGGTGACATCCCAGGCAGCTCCCGGGAGCGCAGGCTCCAGTCCTGGGTGGGACTGGCCGGCCAGATGGGCGGGGCTGGGGCTCATGTCCACACTGCTTCTCCTCACCTGGCCTTGCCTGTCCCAGCTGCCTGTGGGGCCCTCGGGCTTCCCAGAGTCCCCAGGGCTTCCTGTGGCGGGGCCGGCGAGGGGCCAGTCTGACTTGGACTTGGTGGGCTTCCTGTCCCGCAGGGTGCTGACAGAGCTAGTGTCCAAGATGCGGGACATGCAGATGGACAAGACGGAGCTGGGCTGCCTGCGTGCCATTGTCCTCTTCAACCCAGGTACTGGGCTGATGCCCATGCCCGCGGCCCACTGTGGGCCGCATCATGGCGGGAGGCAGCTGGGCCGCCTCCTGCTTGCTGTGGGATGGGCCGAGGGGCCAGCTGCTGTCCTAGGGTCGGGAAGGTGCTTGTCACTCGTCCCTTCTGGAAAGCGGCACATTGGCATCCCGTGCAGGACAGGGCCAGGCTCACATGTCCTGGATGGGGCTGGCGATCACGCGGGCCCACTGGGTATCCTGGGGTGGCCAGCACCACCTCCAGCCCCTGGGGCCATGGCCACACAATGGCAGGGATGCGTGGCTGACTGGGCGGGGTGCAGCCCTGGGGAGGGGCGACGTCCAAGGAGGGTGGAGTGGGTGCCGGGGCAGGCAGCACCCGGGCTTTGTCTTGGCCGTGGGGAGCTGGGCCCTGCAGGGTGTGGGAAGGAGGGTGCAGGGCCTGTGCTTGAAGCCCGCCTCTCTCCCTGCGGTGGGTGGCTTAACATGGAGTGAACGGTGGCCACCCCAGGATGCCCCTGGACAGTGGCCAGGAGGCCCCGTGAGGCCTGGCCCTCCAGCACACAGGCTGAGCCCTGGCCTGGTCCTCTGGGGTTGGCCCAGGGCACTGATGTACCAAGGAAGCCTGGGCGTTGGACTGAGGCGTTCAGGGCCTGTCCTGGTTACCATAGCAACGGGGAACAGAGTCCCGGCTCTGTACAGGTGAAGAAACTGAGTCCCTGGAGGTCAGAGACTGGTCCCAGGTTGGATGACTTTCAAGGGGCAGAGCCAGGCCCCCCCCCCCCCCCCGCCGAGCGGCCACCTCAGGCTCCCCCTATCCTGGGGCCTGGGCAGAGCTCTGAGCTGAGGCCACTTCTCCCTGCAGACTCTAAGGGGCTCTCGAACCCCGCCGAGGTGGAGGCGCTGAGGGAGAAGGTGTACGCGTCGCTGGAGGCCTACTGTAAACACAAGTACCCGGAGCAGCCAGGCAGGTGAGCGCTGCCCAGCCCGGGCGGACCCTGAGGCGGGCTATGAGCCGTCCCCACATCAGCGCTGCAGAGCCCATCTGTGAGGCTAGAGCTGCCCGGCTGCGGGCTGTGGGCACATAGCACACTCAGGACGACAGGCCCAGCGCCAGCACATAGTAGGCGCTTTGCAGAGGTGTGGAATAAGTGCCAGAGACTGTGACCTTCTGTCCTGGTCCGCAGTGCCGGGCACACTGTAGATGGCGAGGAGAGGCTGGTGGCCCTGGGATTCAGTCTGCTGTCCCGGCTCTGCCCCTTCTCGCTGAAGGGCACCTCCTGCCTCCCGATGTGAAGCCAGGTGTGGAGGGCTGGGCAGATGGGCACCCGCCCTGGCCATGCCGACCGGCACACACATGGTTAACTGCGTCCACGGCTCGGCCTCATCTGGTTTGGGTTAAAGCGAACTTCCCGGAGGATGAAGACAGGAGGGTGGCAGCCGCTTGTTTTTCCTGGCTTCCTGCCTCGGCCCATCTCGCCAGCTCAGCAGAAAACAGCTTTCTCTGGCCTCGCTCCAGCCTCCAGGCTGCGTTCTTGCCTTTAAAACTGCACAGGGAGGCAGCCAGCCACAGGGCTTCCTCCCCAGGAAGGGAGGGGTGTCGGGAGTAATCCGGCGGCCGCGGAGCCCCCTGGGTGTCTCGGGACGCTGGCCGCTCCCTGCTCTCTCAGGTCTGCCGTGGGTGCCCTGGATGCCCCCCTGGGAGCCCCCAAGGTGCCTCCCCCGGCTTCCTGGGGTCCCCCCTCCTGCATCCTCCCTGGCCTGGCTTCCTGTCGCCCGTCCTGGGCCAGGCCCTGTCTCTCGGGGACGACAGCTGTAGCACAGGCCTCGCTGGCGCTCAGATCCCTTCTTCGCGCTCTTTCCCTCGCTCACCTTTTCCTGTGGCTCCCCATTGCCCTGTTTGTGGTTTGTGACCGCCTGGCCTGTTTGGCCGCGGTGAGGGTGGCTGCCTGGGCCCCACCGAGCTCTCCGCCCTCCACTCCTGCAGGTTCGCCAAGCTGCTGCTCCGGCTGCCGGCCCTGCGCTCCATCGGGCTCAAGTGCCTGGAGCATCTCTTCTTCTTCAAGCTCATCGGGGACACTCCCATCGACACCTTCCTCATGGAGATGCTGGAGGCCCCGCACCAGATGACCTAGGCTGCTGGCCGCCTGCCCGCCCGGCCCGCGCGGACCCTCGGGGCGCTGAGGGATGCCGCCATCCCTGACATCTTCATTGCCGCTTGGCTGTGGCCCAGGGCAGCAGAAGCAGCTGAGACCCGGCCAGGCCCCTGCCCACTGGCTCTTGCCCGTGCCTGGGGCTGCAGGCACTGGGAGGGGCTCATTTGTTGCTGTTTGTCGTTGGAGGTTCTCGAATCCCCCCTTGGCCCTGACTGGAGTGACCGTCTTTGACAGCCCTGAGAGCTCACTCGGGGACAGGGGCAGGGCCAGGTGGGTGCCGGCTGAGTCTCACTGCAGGAGGCCCCCGCAGCCCTGCTGGAGCCCAGGGGCACCCCGGGGCCACGAGCCTCCCTTTTTGAGGAATGGAGGGTGAGCAGCCCCGCTTTCCAGAGGAAACCGGTGAGATCTCCCCAGCCACCGAGAACACAAGCCGACCTTCTGCAGGGTTTTGGGGCCACCCGAAGGCCGCAGGGACTGGGAGCACCCTCACCCCGCCTTGGTCTTCCCTTTGCATCATTGTCCTGCTTGCATCTTCCCCCTGCTGTGTGTGCCTGCTCAACCCACGGTACCCTGAGATCACCGTGCAGCATGCAGGCCGCGCCTGTGTGGGCTCTACTGACCCCTGTGCTGGACGGCACCATCCCAGGGACAGCAGGGGATTCTGACTGGGTTCCCTCGGAGGGACACAGGAGGCCTTGGGAGCCAGAGGGGCTTCTGGGAGAACAAGCCTTGAAGGCAGGGCAGGGGTGTCTTCCTTCCATGGCCTCTGTGTCTGCTTGGGGACTCTGCAGCCTCCTGGGCCCCAGGGTGGAGTTAGTGGGTGTTGACATCCACCCAGAGCCCTAGCTGGGCCCCGGCTCCCACGGCTCCCTTGGCCAGGTGGGCCACCGCAGACCTGAGACCCAGTGTTGAGTGGTCTGCTGAGTGGGTGGGGAATGGAGGGACAAGGAGGTGGCACAGGGAGGGGCCCTTGAACCCCCACAAGCAGCCCTGGGCTGGGGCCTGGGGTGGCCCTGTTGGCAGGGAGGACCTGGGAGTGGGGTGGGAGGTGGCAGGTGGGAGGAGCCAGCTTCCAGGCCTCTGGAGGACGGGCGTGTCCAGCTCAGGGCATGGCAGCACCAGGCAGAGGCTCACAGGCACTTGGTCCCACCTGCACCTAGCTCGGTGCCTTCTGCAGCCCGTTGCACCCAGGCTGTGCCTGCACCTGCCATGTGCAGTGCCCCCAGGCTCCTGTGCACCCCTCGGGAATGTCCATGGCTCCAGCAGAGAAAACCTAGGGACAGAAGTCTCCTCAGTCTCTCAGAAGTTCCCTCCGTCCCTGGGCCTGGCTGGCCTACCCCCCCCCCCCCCCACCCCACCCCCCCCCCCCCCAAGCCAGAACCCCATGCCCTGTGGCCCTTGCAGCCTTACCTGCCGCCCACTCCCTGTTGCTCTTCCCGCGGCTTCCTGTCCCCTTCTTGTTCGTGCCCTGTCACCACCATTGTCCGTCCAGCGCTGCTGGTGTTCGAGGTGGGCCGTGGGGAGGTAGGAGGCCTCTTTAACCAGGCCTTCAGCCATGCTGCCAGTCTGGCGCAATTGAGGTGATTTTTGTAATTATTATTATATTTTGGTGGGACAGTCTTTAATTTTCTAAAGATAGCACTGACATCAGCTCCTCGGCCACCCTGTGCACGTCCCTGCTGTGGCCGGGCCCATGACCTCCCCCTTGCCGTATCCCTTCCCACGTGGACATTCACACCGGCTCCCGTGGCTGAGAAGCGAAGTTGGACGCAGGGCCCGGTGGCCCGCCTGGTGCCTGTCAGCAGATGGACCCTCGTCACGCTGGAGCGCGTGGTCTCTGGGCGACGTCGCCCCGGGTGCTGTTTCCCGAGCTCTCGGTGGTCCCTGGGGATCACAGGCTGGCAGCCTGGTGACAGTGCCGGAGAGGACACCGGGTGCCGGCCGGAACGTGGGGCCTGGTCCCTGTACACACGGGTGTGTGGTGTAAACGTGTATGTGCAGTACAGAGACGCTGCAAGCGAGGAGCCGTGTCACAGTTACCAATGTTTCGTGTTTATTTTTAATCAAGACTTTCCCTGTGTCCCTGTAAATTTGCTTCCTGTAAGCAAGCACCAGAGGATCCCTCCTTTGGTGAAATCTGGGTCTGAATGAGAATCTTGAGGCAGGAGATGCATCTATTTTAAGATGCCTGGGAGTGGCAGCTTCGGCAGTCCCAACCCCTAGCAATGCCTTAGCCGGGACGCTCGCTAATGCTTTAGGGATGTCACATCCACAAGGAGAGAGAGATAAGGAAATGTCTAAAGCATTGGGAAAGGTTAAAAAAAATCTATTTTTGTACAAATGTAATTTTATCCCTCATGTATACTGGATGATATGGCGGGGGGTGGGCCTATTTTGTTTCTGCTTCTAGCTGTCCAGGCGAGACTCGGAACGTGGAGGCTCTGCAGACCCCTGCCTGTGGATGCCTCTCGGCCGGGGCGGGGGCCGGGGCAGCCAGGGAGCCCAGGGTCGCCCTCGTGCCTTCCCAGTACTCCGTGGAACCATGCTGTCCCCTCGCCTGCTGGCCGGCCTTCCCACAACTCTGTCTGACTGTGAAATTCCTTCCCTCCGTAATTGTTCTCTGCAACATCGCAACGCAGTCGCCAGGGTTGGACGAACGATGGCGTTAGGGTCGTGGAACAGAGACACACAGAGGAAAACATGAGAGGGGAAACAAAATGAGCGTTTCAAAATCCATCTCCGTTCAGTTCTCCTTTGTTCTGCGTGGAGTTTCCTGTTTGAGCCCGGGAAGTGCAGGGTGAGGAGCTGGTGTCCCTGGGGCGGCAGGTCCAGGGGTCCAGGAGATGCAGCCCCTGGCATCCGCGGCACCAGGCGTGTGGACGCTTGCAGAGCCCATGCATCTCCACCCGCCCGGCCCCAGGGCCCCTGTGCCCAGCCCCTGGGTCCATGCTGGCCCAAGCCGGCAGGAACTTCACACAAGGACCACAAGACTAATGATGTCATCTCACTGCCTGATTAATAACAGGTTAACGACGCCCATCTGCACCATCCCTGTGATAAATGCCCTTTGTCTCCACGCTGTCTGGAAGCCGGGCTGCCCCGGCCCCAAGTTGGTGATGGTGCCTCAGCCCCCTCTCACACCTCCGTCTAGCCAGGCTCCCCACCGAGGAGGCACTGAGCCCCGGGAGCTGGAAGTAGGGTCTTGAGGAGCTGGACAGATGGCCCTGGGGTGGTGCCTGGAGCCAGGCAGGGCAGTGGCTTCCTGAGGTTGTTGCCCCCGTGAACGCATACATTTGTGCACATACACCGTACACATACATGGACACGTGTACATGCACTGCGCACACGTGCAATCATGCAGGCTGCACACACAGGCACACTCAGGTACATCCATGCACAAATCACTTCACTCGGCCTCGGAGGACGCCATCCAGGGAGGGAGGGAGGGTGAGGTCCAGCCAGCTACACTGCACACCTCCGTGCTCCCCTCCCCGGGATGTGTTTGAGGGCTGAGTGCACCCTGAAACAGCCTTGGCCTGGGTGGTGGTGCCAGTGAGACCCTACAGGACAGGTACAGTTTGTGCCCGACAGCTGCCCATCTGGGCCCCGACTCTGAGGGGCCTGGTCAGCTCTCCAGCCGCCGGAAGTCAGGGCTGCTGCATCTTGTCCTCCGGGACAGCACAGGTCTTGAGGGGCCAGGGCTGAGGCCAGCCCTCGGGGAGGCCGGTGGCCCCTGCAGTCCCCGAGCTGCCTCTCCTGCCCTGCTTGACCCCACTCTGGTCCCCGGTTCTATAACCCTGGCCGTCCCAGCTCTGAGGGCCCCTTTCTTGGCCTGGAGGGAGGGTTGGCCCTGAGAGGCAGATGGCCCTCTTCCTGCGTCCCCGGTGGCCACACGACAACATAGCTGCTGGCCAGGAGCCAGACCTCCCTGTCCCTTGAGACCTGGGCACGGCCTCTGTGACGCCCACCCCCTTAGTGGATGGAGGTCCCTGCAGGGCAGGTGGTCTCAGGTGAGGGTGCAGGGGACGAGAGGAGACAAGGTGGACAGAGGCCACTGGATCCTCAAGAGGCCGGGGAAGGGGAGGGCTCCCCTCCAGCTCCCAGGGCCCAAGTGCAGGTTTGTGATGACCCACAGGGGCGGCTCCAGGCGGGGCAGCGCGGCAGGCGGGTTCAGGTGCAGTGGTGGGCTGCTCCCTGGGGAAGTGTGGGGACGTCCACCTCCAGGGACACGGGCCCCGCCCAGTCCCAGCCCCGCGGAGCCCCAGCTGCCAGCGCAGGCCTGGCAACCCAGCCTCCGGCCTCCCTGCGCTGCCTCTGGTTGCCAAGGCAACGCCTGCTCTGGGCAGTCCCTCCGGACCAGAGATGCTGGTTGTGATAAGTTGATCACCAGCAGAATCAGGCGGGGACAGGCGGAGCCAGGCTTGGGGTTTGTAACCCGAGACACCGGGGTGGGGGCAGGGGTGCAATCTCCAGTGGGGGGGTGGGACCTGGCCGGGCACCTCTGTGCTCCCCGAGCTGTGCTGGGTCCTGGCGCTGAGGGACAGGTCCGGGTTTCCCTTCCGTCAGCAGGGGGCAGCGCGGCAGCAGGGAGGGCAGGTGTGGGAAATGGGGCCTGGAGGGATGGGACAGGGGGCGGGAGAGCTCCTCCCTACACATGGCCCGGCGCTGGACCCTCAGGACGGGCAGGGGCCACTGCCGTGCCAAGGACAGCAGCTCCTGCAGGGACCAGAGTGCACCAGGAGCCCAGGCAGGAAGCGGCAGAGTGAGGACTTTGGACCCCGCCCTCGCAGCCGCCACGTGGTCCATGGTCCCCAGGAGGGGAGTCCACAGGCTGGCCAGGCATTCGGCCTGTGTTCCCCACCGTCCTCTGCCCTGGACCCCTCTGCACAGCAGCCCAGAGAGAAGCCAGGCAGCTGGGGAGGGGCCCAGCTCAGGCCTCCCCACCCGCCCGATGGTGCCGCTTCCCTTTGGTCCGCAGGAGGGACAGGGCACCCCATAGCTCCCTCAGGTGTGGGACGCACTGCCCCCTGCCGGAGATGCTGGGAAAAGGCCGCTCCTCCCAGTGCAGGGTACGTGGGCTTCCCGCAGGCTTTGCAGGATCCCAGTGCCCATGGCACCCCGGTCGGGGCTGGTCAGGAGCTGGGTGTTTACCAAGACCCCGGGGGCCAGGCTGTGTGAGCTCGGTGCGCCCACCTGCCAACAGGTGGGAGGCAGGGAGGCCCTGCCCTGAGGGCCTCAGCTTCTCCATCTCGGGCCCTTGTGACAAAGGTCCTGGCCACCTGGAAAGCGTTCTGTGGTTGCCGTTCACTCTGTTTTGTGGTGTGAAGAGGTGCTAATGCAGGGCACTGGAAATGAGAAGAGGCAGGTGCGACCCAGGGATTTGCTTGCTCCCTGGGAACCCCTGGGGTCTCCCACTGAGAAGACAAGGGCTGTGGGCCCAGGCTCCGGGGCCTAGGAGGGGCGTCATGGCTCATGGCTGTTGGGGAGAGGGACCAGGAGTATAAGGCACAATAACGGCCTTGAAGGTGAGCAGTGGAGCCCTTGCAGTCCAAGGACACGTCAGACAGAGCCGCCCATGGGGGTCAGGGAGGGAGGTGGAAAATGTGGAGGAGAGACTTAGCGTGTCCTTATCCAAGCAACCACCCACAAACCGAGCTGCCCACTCATCCATATACCCACCACCCACCCACCACCACCTAGGTACTCTCCACCCAGCCACCCAGCCCTCGTCTATGCATCCACTGACCACACTTCTCAGGCCAGGCCCTGCCTGGAGAGGTTCTCATCCACCCCCCGTTCCCAGGACAGGAAGGGATTGTAGGGCTGAAGCCTTGGGCCCATCAGCCTGACTCCTCCTCCTGGTCCTGTGCCGCAGGATGAGACCAAAGCCATGTGTCCAGGATACCACCTGAGAAGCCAGCTCTGCAGTTCCAGGTCTCTCGAAGGACAGGAAGTGCTGTCATCTGGGCGGCTGGCTGCTGTGGGGCTTTGTCCTCCTGCCATTCTTCAAAGTTCTTTCTTTTTTGGTACTGGGGATTGAACTCAGGTCCTTGCACTTGAGAGTCAGGCGGCAGAACCACTGAGCTGAATCCCTGGCCCTTCCTGCCGTTCTTGCACCAGTGCTGCCAAGCCTGGGCCAGCCTGGCTGCAGGCAGTGGTCCACCCACCCACCCACCTTGACAGTAGCCTGGGGTCTGAGTGCAGCTGGGATCTTGACGTCCCAGGCCCCTGTCTCCCCTGGGTGGATGGGCTGGGAATTACAGGGAGGTCACTTCTGGCCTGAGGTGTCAGGAGAGGATAATACGGATGTCATCGAAGACAGTCCAGTCTCGGGCAGGAAGTGTGGCCAGGGAGAGAAGGCAGCCAGGACCCCCCAAGATGAGAGCTGGCCAGGGAGCTTCTCTGAGGACCTCAGCCATCCCGTGAGGCTGTGTGGCTCTGCTCGAGCGGGCACCCAAGACAGAGCCCAGGCTGGGCTAAGTTGCCCGGGTGGGAACCCAGGGCACCAAGGGAGGCAGAGGCCTTACCTGTGGCCTTTGCCTTCCTGTGGGCCGTGGGAGCCCTGCGGGAGCCACAGGTGGGGCCCAAACCGTGAACCCCTGGAGCAGCACATGGAGGGTCACTGTAGCCAGCTGGGGTCACGGCCACTCCGGAAGGCAGCAGGCAGGTTGCAGAGTTGTGACACTGCTCACAGTCAAGCAGCAAGGTTGGAGCCCCGAGTGTGGAAATGGGTCTGTCCAAGACCTACACGAACCCTTCCGGCTACCACAGTTCTAGCTGCCAAGGACTGGTGTGATCGGGATGTCGTTCAATAAGCCAGTGCCGGGGCCGCATGCACGTGCGGGATGGATCAGCGCCAGAGCGGGAGCTGGCCAGCTGCGGAGACTTGGTGACGCCGATGTGTTGCCCGAAGGGAAGGCGCTTGGTGACTCTGCTTATGCAGCACCCGGGAGCCGCAGGACCACAGAGGGCACTGGCCCGGGCTCTGGGGAGAAGCCTGAGTAGAGGGACCGGGAAATCTTAGGGGAGCCTGGGTAGCCCATGCCCATTGGCCCCCATGGCCTGAGCCCTGCTGCCCCCATGGTGGAAGTTACTGTACGTAGGGTTTGGGGATCCGGCCTAAGAGTGGACAGGAGAGCACTCCCCGCCTGTGTCCTGGATGAGAGGGAGCTTCGCTGGAGGGTACAGCTTGGAGCGCAGAGGGGCTATGCAGGCGGGGCTAAGAGGTCTTGCCTGGCTGCCCAGGTGTCCCCAGGTGTGGGCTGGCCCAGGGGGATCGGTCACCCTGCTGGAGTGGGGTGACAGGCCAGAGGGGAAAAGCAGGCTCCCCGTGTTTGATGGTTGGAGCCGGGGGAATTTGTGTGATGGCTCCACGGAGAGAGACAGAAGTGACAAGGGTTCCCTGGCGGGTGCACAGTGTCCGTTAGGCTTCTCCAGCACAGGGCTGGGGCTCTGTGGGCCCACGACTGATCCCAGGACGGCGGCAGGAGTGACACAGGAGGACCTGGGGCCATCTGCAGGGCCAGGGAGTAAACTGCAGACACACTAAAACCAAAGCCGAAGCCAAAGCCACCAGGCTGTCAGCAGGACACAGAAGTCCCCAAGTCTGCCGTGTCCAAAGGAGGAGCAATATGAGCTGGAACAACATAAATGCCACAGAAATTGGATGGTCACTGAAAGTATAAAATATCCATGAGCCCAGGCACCTATAAATAAATGATGGAGGGAAGAGATGC